GATAACCGGTCTCGCGCGGGAGGGAGAGCCACTATCCCGCGCCGCCACCCTAAATTTCCAGCGCATTTTTCACCCTCCCCCCGTGTGCACGGGGGCGGAAAACTCTCGGCCGTATTCCAGACGCGTTCCACGTCGCCTTTTCCTTCCACCTTGGCCCTCCTCCTCTTCCTTCTCGTGTGTCTCGCCACGCGAGAGCGAGCCAATATTTTGCGTCGAGGCATCACGCGCGCCAACCACCTCGCCCGTAACGCGAGGAGGAGGAGGTGGAGGAGGAAGAGGAGGAGGAGGAGGTGTACTTGTATCCCGTGGGATTGGGAACGGACGTCTCTATCGGCGCGCTCTTTTATAAATATTTATCCTCGTTTGAATCCATCGGGAAGTTCTTTCTCTGTCTCTCTCTCTCTCTCTCTCTCTATGACGGCTTCATCCCTTTCCCGATTCTTTTTCGTTTCCGTTAGTGGGTCTCCGGGAAAGAAGCTGGTATGCTCTTCTTGGCTATGCAACTCTTGGATTCGGAGACTTTTGCGTGTTTGTTCTCTGAAATCTTTTATGGCTCGGATCTTTGGATCCGTGACAGTAGCAAGATATCACAGGTATTTTAAATTATTTCAAATGGGATATTTTTATTTCTGGGAGTTTGTATATTTATGGCGAATGAAATTCTGGTTGTTGTTGATCGATTGAATGTTGGTTAAAAAAAAAGAGAACTGGTTGATGGGAGGATATTTTAAAAAATCAAAAAGTCTTTGATTATTTCAATTTGTTTTAAAGACTCGATTATTCGAATCGGTATAATTTAGAAGAGAATGATTTTAGGCGAACGAATGGGCGATCATTGGAGGCGTGGAATCTTGCTCTTTGAGACGCTCTTTTAATTATTTCGATACGACTTCCGGTTCCCGAGATATCGTCGTGTAAAAGGAAAGAATAATTTTTTATTCTTTCTATATATTTATATTCTATATATTTTATTATTTCCGTTATTGGTTGTCTCATTAACTATCCCAAACTATAGTTAAGTGATAGACATGGTTCCAACACACATTTTCAGAAAAAATATGCAGTTATACATTCATAATTTCATTGTACTTAAGCACTATAGAAAGTTTGAATTTCGATCGAGATATTTTTGCAAAAAGTGATTGATTTCAAGTGGCATAGTTTCTTCTATATAATTTCTTGAATAGGTTTTGATGAAAATTTTTTTCTTCCTTTATTTTTTACACGAAAAGTCTTATTCGTATCTTGATTGATTGCAATGCAAGGTTCATTTTACTCAAAGTATATGATTTATACGTGCTTTAAGTAATTTAACGTATTTTCTGATATTTGTTGATTATAATTCTAACAGGTAAAACATTCTATTGATAATGTTTTCACTGAAAATGTTTCGTGGAATCTGATGGTAAACACGTTTCGACTTTTCGAAAATTGGTTTAGGTATTTATCTGGTTCAATTTGTGAATCTGAACCGACTGTATGGATATGTGAATTAATTCGATCAGTTTTGTTCCAGATAGATATGGACGAAAATTTTTATTGACTTGTTTCGTCGTGCTGGTGTTGAAACGTAAGGCGGTTAACCGAATTTTCATTTTCTACGTTTGTTTCGCTTTATCCACGCGATATTCCACTTCTGTTATCGTAATACGAAATAAAATCACAGAAAATTGATGCTCAGAACGATGAATCTGTTCGATATTTGTTTTTTTTTTTTTAAACAGCATCGATTTCATACCGATCCATTGAAAAATTTCACAAATTTTAACTTGGAACACGAATGATCACGTTTATTTATATATCGATCTTCGTTAAAAATTATTATTAATCCGGAAATTAATAAATGCAAAATTGAGGAAGAATAATAATGATGATCATTCGGATTGGGATTTTTTTTTCTTTTTTTCATTCGAATATAAAAATTACAATATTCTGAAAGAAGAAAATTCAACGATAATAATCCCATCGATGTTTAGCAGTTGTGTCGTAATATTAAGTTTCACGAACAACGATGGATCCGCCAAGAGAATAAAAAGTTTCGTTCATTCCGAGGGAATCGTTTTCCGAACAACCTCAACGAGGGAAGCGTGTTAAACAAGGACATTCTTGGAAACATGAGTCCGCGGATTCACTTAGTTCACGTTGTCGTCGTTGCCGCTAATTAATATTCTTGGAAAGATAATAATAACGCGTACTCGTGTCGAGAATTAAACGAATCTTCTTTGAATTGAAGATGTCATAACTTGCACATTCCTGCGGTAAAGCGCATTGTTGTAGATTCTTTAAAAAGTAATATCCATTTATTATTATTTTAACGCGTAAACGTTGCTCGAAGGAATTACTGTTTCCAGTCTTAACGTTAAATACGTTACAAATACGAAGATGTGATTTTCTAAGTGCCAGATAGATTTTCAACGCTAGATAATTTTTCAAATTTCTCGAAATGTCTTGAAAAAAAAAAAATAATAATAGAATAAAATAAGAAAATAATAATAAAGATTGATCAATTTTTGCCAAAGAAAAATTATAGAAACTATTATTGATGATTCTAAATAACAATGTCAAATAAAATAATAATCTCGAATTCATCGAGATAATTTGTTAATTCAGAGCACAAGAGAGGGGGAAACAATTTTTCACGAGGATCCTCTCTATTGCGTCGCGATGCCACCTAATTGTTCCATGGCAACTGGCTGTGTGTTTAGCCACCACGGTGCTGCATTGCGGCGTATTTCGTATTTGTTACAATCAATATTTCGTATTGTAGGCCAGCAACTTGAAAATTCGTTTGTTCACGCTTCGCCAACTCGCGAATGCGAGAGAAACCGATTGGTCCCCGGAGTGCACGATAAAACGCAAAGACCCTCCGCCGATTTAGACTTTTAAATTTCGTTTCCGCACTCATCTGCCTCTCTGTTCTGATCTCTTCCTCCAAATGGAACTACTATTGCAATTAACGAAACCATCGTGAAATGTTTTCTTTCCTATTGATACTTGTTGAAATGCCAAAATACATTGTACACTGTATTCCTATAAATATCTAATTCTCGTCCCCATTTCATGATCGAAAAAAGAAACACGAATAGGATTAATTCAAATAAACTTAATTTTCTATAGATTTGTATTATTCAAGAAGAATCATCCAAAGTGAATCCTTGCAAATTTGAATATTTTATATTATTATTATAACAGTATTAATTTAATTTTTCTTCTTTCGATAAATTGACGTTTTCCTAAAAAAAGGATTATATAACTGTTATATTACGTTGTGGAAAAATTATATCGAATCATGACGTTACGATGATCTTCATATTTTTACAAATTCCTCCAATTAAACGAAACAGTTAATCTCGAATCTTTCCAATCAACAGGCTTAATATTAATATTAAAGCATAATTTTCTCAACGAGATTGTTCAGTAACTTTCCACTTGCTCTATGAATACATCGATTAACAATTTTCACTTTTCAACTTGCGATAATTCAATATCGATATCTCCATTCGTTAAACGCGGGGGGGGATCACTGAAAGCAGATGTACATAAATTACTACTACTATCCAAGATGTATCCGAAAGCGAGAGTTGAGCACCTTCGGGGCAAAGCGGAATCATGGAACGCTTGGCCTGGCACTGATGCACTTTCCTCTCTCGAATCTCGCTTTCGGTCCAGACGCCCTTGAGTCTGATTATACACCATACTCCCCTCACCTCCTCGGCCTCCGCCTCCACCACGATTCCCTTCAACACGGCCTTCTCTCCTCGTCACCCTTTTCACGTCAGGTGTCTAGCAGCGCGCGTCTGGCTCAGCAGACGCGTTTGACATTAGGAGACGAGTGCTGAACGTACGATTTATTGCTTTCGCCAAATACGCCAATATTTGTAATTATAAAATTCGCTCGTTGCATTCAGCGGCTCCTCCGTTCGAATTGGCGATTAAATTATTTTATACATCTATCTATCTATTTTATCATCCTGCACAAATGTAAAAGTAATTTTATTATAATGAATTTAACATATCGGGACGCGTACCCTTCGAAAATTTATAACCAAACTATAAGAGAAACGAATGTTATATAATAATTTTTCTTCCTTTTCTATTTTTTTAATTTATAAACAATTCTCAAAAATCGACGTGAGATCATCCCATCTCCCCTTCATCGAATCCTTCGAATTCGAAATAAAACTTTACGACTTCGAATTACCAATTTTATAAAATTTCGCGAAAACAAGAGAAGAAGTAATACGCCTCTCTGGATGGAATTCATCCGCGGCCGCCGCGCGCAATTTCATCGAAAGTTGAAAAAGCGAGCGGAACGAGGCCGGGGCGCGCGCGTTTTGGAACGAGATCCGGGAAACGAAACCGCGGACTAACGAAAACCGAGGTTTTTGAAAGCCTCGCGCACGGAACGAGGCTTTGGGGCGAGGCGAGGCGAGACGAGGCGAGGCGAGGAGATCGTCTCGAGCCGTTAGCTGCGCGCCCAGTATTACCAGACAGACGTTTTACGGCCTGTATTTCACCGAGTCGAGTTACGTAAGCCTCGGTACACACCCGTGCGCACACCCGCACGGTTTTTCTACCGTTTGGCTCCGATTTGCATGCAACGTCTCGAAAAACTCGCGCGCGACAGCTACTCTCCTCCTCTACTTAGCGCTTCCGCTTCCGGCCGCGGAGCAGCTCGTTAGATCGAGTCGCGGTGCTTTTGTTGGCACGTACCCCTATCGTGCCCCCATCGTGTTTTTTCCTCCCCAATTTTTTTTTCTTTTTTTTTTTTTTTTTTTTTTTTTTTTTTATTATTATTTTCATTACGTTAGAAACGAAATCTGTTCCTTCGTGTATACGAAGGGGGAGGTTCTGGATGCAAAAGGAAGCGAGAGGGAGGGGGGAAAAAATAAGCGAGTGGAAGGAGGGGGGCGGGGGAAAGGAACTAGCCGGGTCGGCATCTGTTGCCAAAAACCGAAATGAAACGCGCCTGGGGGGAGAGAAGGCTGGTCGACGACTGCCAGAGTCGTCGTCGTCGTCCTCGTCGTCGTCGTCGTCGTCGTCGTCGTTCTCTTCCTCGGCTGGATCTCGTCGATGATTGTGCTGGTGGAAGCTTGTAGTCGAGGGCGGCTCTCGTTTCCCAGCGTGGTTACGAAGACAAAACAAAAATCAGGGCCAAATAAAACCGAGAAGGGAACGCCGTGGCACGCCAGGAGGGTCTCTCTTTCTCTCTTTCTCTCTTTTCTCTGCTTCTCTCCTCTTGGGAACGCGATTTTTTCTTTAACGAGTTATTTTTAAAATTGTGAGCGTTAAATAGGCTAGGAATTATTTTTTTTTATATTATTTGATTTTGCGACTTTTCCTTTCCTCTAGAAGTAATGCAATAATCGAGGTATTAAAAAAGAAGGTAAGACTCGAGATGTTTAGTCTAATAATAAGGCGAGGAAGTTTATCGCTCAAGTTATCGAGGCAAGTTCGAAAATGAGCGGGAAATCTTTTTTCTTTGGCAGAAAAGAAGATTGCAGAACGACGTGGTTAATGTCGAGCTCGGTAGAATGATGATCCCGAATGCGTGACAGGACGTGGTTTATGCGGGCCGAGGCGTGGCGTTCTAGTTTGTTTAACATTCTTGGGCAAGTGTTGCTCGAA